ATAATTGCTTTCAAACTGCGATATTGACTCTTGAGATCCTCTGAGTCCTCCAAAGGTGTTAAATTTTGATCTTTTATAGACTCGGTGTGTCTAGATGTTATTAACTTCGATGCTGCGAATTGTTGAGGCGAATCTTCTTTTAAGCAAGGAATGCCCAAACCACCCTGATTTGGAGTTAACGTGACAACTCCGTGCAGTGAATCAGTTAGGGGCTCCTCTTGACCAAAAAGGGTAGGTAGGAAAACCTCATGAAGTACCTCTTGAATAGGATTCACAAAGTCTTCAAAGGATTCAATCGTACGCATGCAGAAAGTGAACTTTGATTTGAAGCCTTTCGTAAAGGCAACAAAGGCTGCCTGTGGTTGACTTTTGGCGATTTCAGAGAGAGCCTCAAGTTCTTCCTTCCATTTTGTACTATTTAGTAATTAGTGTTTCACGGATTAATTGTTTGCACTCTACCACTACTACTAATAATAATGATATTAACGATAGAGTGCAAAAAATCGTGCTATTTTGTATTACTAAAGTTTCACGGTTATATTGTTTGCACTCTAATAAAAATAGCCAAATCAATAATAACTTTTAAATGTAGCCTAAGCGTCTGCTTGTTGAAATAAAAAAAGAATCGTATATGATTATTCCTCCCAAAGTAGACAAATGATCGTCTGGATGACTGAATGGGTCTGRAAAAAAGCCATGGATAGATTTGACATGAATGAAAGTCTAACTCACAATTTAAATTTCGATTAGTCTGTGTTTTCAATAATGGTTTGACGAACATTATGGAGGTGAATTTGCTTCTCAAAACGAATTGGCCAACATTTTAGCGAACATTTTGTTGGTAGCGGTAGCTCAATGTTTCCTTGGTTCAAGGTTTTCAGCTCGATAAACAACAGCTTTTTCTCGAACATTAAGAAAATAAAACTTATCCGCAGAAAGATTCACCAAATATCTTATAGAACAGGGGCGGATCCAGGATTTTTTCAAAGGGGGGGGGGGTCGTAGCATCGATTGAGGTACTTGTTTGGCGGGAAAATAGCACAGGGTTCCCAAACGGAAGTAGGTCTTATGATAATGATTATTTGCTGCAGGCGAGCATGGTTGTTTCAGGTCCCACATACGGCGTATAGAAAAAAAAGCGAGCGAAGTGTGTTTGGCACCTCTGTTTCAATAAAACTCGCGATGCTGTTGGTGTTGTCATGAAAAATAATAATAATAAATCACGATGGCTCTCATRGGGGGGTGGGGGGGTTGCAACCCCCAAAACCCACCCCTAGATCCGCTACTGTAGAAATAGGAATTTTTTGGTAGAAAATATTTCTTTTTGAACAAGAGATAATAGAAAATACTTGGAAATCTTCTCTGTGACAAGCAATAAATTATATTCAAAAGCACCTGGTATGCGCAAAGATCGCGCTGCAAATATTCGTTATATTCCTGATCCAATTTTCCAGAAAAGGTAACGAAAAGGTAACCCTCTTTGCACTTTTTGAATCGGTTTATCATGTTATTTGTTTGGAGAATAGTAATGCAGACCTCGAACTATGCAAAGCGGTTCCTTCCCTCCCTCTGTCTGTATTTCCTTTCCTATTTTTCTCTTTCGGCTGCTCGATTGAATCAAACATGGAGCAAAACTAATTGAAATTTCAAATTACTACACAACATTTTAATTTCGATGTGTTAGTCTTTCCTCCCTTCCTTCCTTGTATTAAACATGGAATCAAAACTTATTGAAACTTCTGCTACACAACTCGTCATTTGATGCTGATGGAAAGCAGTTATTTCCCTCTGCTTGTCTTATCTTCCTCTTTCCTCTTTCATTACTCTATCGTATCAAACGCAGGAGGAAAACTAATTGAAATTTCAAAATACTACACAACTTRCGTGTTTCCTGAAATGAAAAGGATAGCTCTGGCTTCTCTTGAAAGTTACTAACGATAAAAATATAGATCTGTACTTAGCAATACTGAATTTAGTTTTCCAAAGTTTGCTGCAAGTTGAACGCAAGAATGTATCATGACTAAGAGTGCAAAACCTTACCTTGCTTGTTCAGCGATTGGTCTTTCTGGAAGATGCCCAGTTCGTGTTGAGCACAACCTAATATAGGTTAACATTACAGGGCTCACATCTTTAGGAGACTAATCCTTCTGTGATTGGCTGTTTCGGTTTATCACGTACGAACTTTTTAATAGAGAACTTAGACGAACACACACGTGGTCTGAAATGGAAAGCACGTGTAAGAAAAAAATATCAGACAGCGCGTCCAATTATCAAATTAAAACACTCAAACTACACAGTCTGCTCTTAACATCTCTTCTCCAGGGTCGAAATAATGTATTCCACACTATCATATATCGTTACCTCACTATTATATATCGTTAACATCATTGTCTTTGTTCAAACCAATCTATCCAGTCTGCTTTACAGCCATTCTCAATCACACGCGCCGCTCTAGCGATTGTTTCTTTCGCGACGAAGTAGCTTTTGGTGGACGTTAATCATGGCGTTTCCATGATATTCTATAGGCACGTGCCCTTGTAGCTTTGTGTTTTCCGACAATCAATGGAAACGCCTTGTGATTGACGTCCACCAAAACCTTCTTCGTCGCGACAGAAAAAATCGCTAGAGAGCGCGTGTGATTGAGAATGGCTGTAAAACGACAGCGTTTTCTAAAAGTAAAGAGATTTGGCTGAGCTTACAGCGGTTATAAAATTTACAAAAATTATGGCCGCTTCCATGTATATGTACAAGTATATCAAAAGCATATCAAAAATTATGGGATATCATCCCTGATATTTTTTTCGAGTTGTCTATCACTTGGGCTTTCCGAAAAAAAATATCAAGAAAGATATCTCGCCGTGTCTGACATACTTTTGATATACCTGTATGTATATTTGAAACGGCCATAATTTTCGCAAATGGCTATGTGTGTGTGTGTGTGTGTATATATATATATATATATATACACACACACACATATATATATAGTATATATATACTTGATTGCAGAGAGGTTGTAGTATACATTTATACAAATACTTAATTCATTCAGTATATTTAATGATATGCAGAACAGAAAACTCGCTTTATTTATTATTTGTTTCATTCAATGAACGTCAAAATATTTTATTCTTGTTTTTTACTTCCTACAGATTATAAATCAATTGGTTTTGGAGGTTAAAAAATGAAATTGCAATATGCATCTTATTAGGTATTTGTATAAATGTATAACTGTATACTACAACGTTTCTCATCTTTTTCTCATCGTTTTGCAAGCCTTAAATTAAATATTAGTTTTGCTCTAAAATGCTCATTACTGAGAGAAGAACTGGTACGGTAAATACGGTACATATTGGATGGAGGTTAGACAAAATCCGATGARAAAATGAGTATCCTAGTTTGTACACAAGACATAAATCGACACGACCGATAACTGAGCACCATTAAGGCATGGCTCTTTTGAGGAAGTGATGAAAAATCAGTTATTTATTCATATCTTTGACAGTTTACTATGAATCTTTCCCAAATTTGGCTCGTAGTAGTAATTCTTCAAGGCAAGCAATTACCGCATATCTGTTACCATGGAAACCAGGTCACGTGACCACAAGGCCGCCATCTTGGATTTTTTTTAAAAATCGTTTGTAATCGTATTGAAACTACTTCAAAAGTCCTGAAAATCCATATTCCTTTTGATATTTGCAATACCTATATGGATCTAATTGGATATCTTGGAAATTATATTAAGTTTAATTTTTAGAATATTTTAAATTTTTTGGAAAAAATAGAAAATATTCTAAAAATTAAACTTAAAATAATTTCCAAGATATCCAATTAGATCCATATAGGCATTGTGAATATGAATAGTAATCTGCATTTTCRTGACTTTTAAAGATGTTTCGGTACGTTTACAAACGGCTTGTTTAAAAATCCAAGATGGCGGCCTTGTGGTCATGTGACTTAGTTTCCATGGTAACCAAGGCTCTAAGGTTCCTTCTTTTCACAAAAGACATTAACTTGCCAAGTTTGGGGAAGATTCGTAGAAAACTGGCTATGATATAGCAAATCAGTTTTTCATCTGAGAGCCATGCCTTAATGATGCTGAGAATCTGCATTTYGTCATATAAAAGAATTCTAAGGATTAGTTTAATGTGAGTGAAACTTAAACAGCAATGATCATATTCTCATTTTTCTCATTTTTGATCTCATTCATTTTAATATTTCAACTATATTTTTTCACTTTAAGACAATAGGTAGCCAACAGGTTCACAATAACAAAAAAGAACTTCTTATCCAAGTTGTCATTCAAGTATTTTTATCAAAGGGACTGTTCGTAAAACATTTAAATAAGAGAAAAAGGCTTGGCCTTTGTGCAATTCTGTTTTATTTCTTATCGACGTGACAACAGCGCTGTGCAACCACATCGTTTTCTCGATGGGAAATATCGACGGTATTCCTACGGAATTAGCTAACAGGTAATTTCACACCCATCATGCCACATTTTAGGATACAATCACTTGCACCCCCATAAGACCTCTTGTGTCCTGAGATGAGTCAGAAAATAAAACAATTTAAAGATTTTTCTTTGAGGCACGCAATGGATTTTTATTTAATTCGTTATGAGTATAGGAGTTATAGCTCACGATTTACCTTAATTAAGTTACAATACTTGAAAACGTGAAATGGGTGATTACTGAACAGAATTGTTGTCCCTCGTATAGCGAATACAATTTCGAGAAAACAACATACACTATGCAAAAGAATTGATACCATAAGTACAATTAAAGATTTGAAATTAAACAAGATATGGAGTTACAGCTGAGACGTGCTTATTACGGCATTTAGTTAATCCAGTATTTTATCTTTTGCTTTCACTATAATGCTGTCTGCATTTTAAGAGGTCTACCACGCATTCACCGGATTTTTTCTTTTCGCAGGGGCCAAGTGTCGGGTTGGAATGACGATCCTCCTCTTTCCCGTCATGCACTTGATGTCCTGCACGCAGTCACCGTTAGAATCTTTTCTTTCGCAATGACCAGAACACTGTCTTGTAGGTGGGTTGACGATGTTTCTCTTTCCCATCATGCACTTGATGTCCTTCACGCAGTCACCGTTAGAATCTTTTCTTTCGCAATGACCAGAACACTGTCTTGTAGGTGGATTGACGATGTTTCTCTTGCGCTCAGCAACAGCACCGACCGCGAAGGCAGCAACGGTGAAAATAAGAAAGAACTGCATTTTCTGTAACGAGTAAAACAGAACAGAAACAAGCTTAATATAAGTCTTATAAAGGAATATTTTAAATAGGAATATTTTGAAATACTCGGTGACTCTTATAACTGTGCCCAAAACTCATGACAGGATTCCTCATTTCAAACTGGTATATTACAGTGTGACTGCTATAACTGGGGGCCCCTACTTTAGACAGCGAGAACCAATCAATTTATAAAAACAGTACATTCCAACTTTGGATAGTAAAGCGAATCAGATAGCAGCAGAAAACAATACCCATTCGACATATTCCTTTATTCCCAAGAGAAAATAACAATGGCTATCTAGTGGTTTACACGAAACATCAGGGTCAAATTGATTAAATAATTACCATTAAATTACCATTCTCGTGTAAGTGTGTAGGTTTCTGATTTGCTCGACTACCCAAAGTTGGAATGTATTGTTTTCATTCTACATTTTATTTGCTTGTCTTGTTTTATTGGTGTGAGTGGCCCCGGTGACTAGCTCCACAGTAAGTATATCAGTATATATATATATATTCTCATTTACATATATCAGTATCATAGCACAATGAAGAGAAACTGAAAAAGTCCTTTGTATCGCATACCATGTAATTAGAACAATGTATCATCTACCTAATTTCAATTACATTTAATTTTATGCAAAATGTAAGCTACCTATCTAGTGTAAGGCTCCGTCCACATTATGCCGGATAAATTTGAATCCGAATTTTATTTATTCGGTTAGGCCTACCGTCCACACTAGTCCGGGCGAATCCAGAACAATTCTTCACCGAAAACGATTTTTTTCGAATACGGTCTCCAGAGTGGAACAATTTAAAACGCCGGCTATCCGTATTAGGCCCCGTCCACACTATGCCGGATAAATTTGAATCCGAAACTCACACCGAAACCGAAAAAAAAGTTTTCCGTCCACACATGAAAACGAATAAAATGTTTCGCGTYCACACTAGTCCGATCAGAGGCGGCAAAAACGCTTCATTGCACATCTGAGCATGTGCATCGAAGCTGAAATTGAGCCCGCGGTGAATTTTTAGCCTTCCCGCCATGTTCCCATGACAATCATGACGTCATCGTACCCGAAAAAAATCGGATACGAAATGTTCTCCGTCCACACTACACCTTTTGCTGTTCATTAACCGCAAAGGAATATTCATT